GTACCTCTTAATAAAGAAGTATTTATCTGACCCAAGCCTGGTTGTGTGAGAATGCTTCAGAGCTGAGAGTTGGACATCGTGGACTTGACAGAGGAATGAAAATAATGGTAAGCTCCCCCCCCTTTTTTTCCTCCTCTTCTTCTTTCCCTGCTTTTTCCCTGTTTGGAAGCATAGCGTGTCACCAGAGGCTTGAAAAATTGACTCTGGCCTCTCAATGTGCCACAATATGTCTGACCTGCCAATAAAATGGATACAGCAAAAAACAAAAAAACAAAAAAAACCCTTTTCTGGTACCTTGCATGATTTGTGTGGCTCCTTCATGTCCTGCTCCTCTCTTTGTGTAGTGGCAATGCGGAAGACCATTGTTATTTCAAGGAGTTTAGGTGACATAGTTTGATTTCTCCTGCACATGTTAAGAAAGCTTATTTTGAATCATAATAATGTTTAGCTGGCTTGTTTTTCACTTTTACTTAGAAGTGGGGTGGAGGTGAAGGAAAACCCTCAGGATTGTTTAGGTTAAGCACTAGCTTATCCATACAGTTCTCAGGCTCTGGAATTTTTTGATGAGCAGGTATCACATCTGATCAACGTCACTTTTAGAGCCCCTGACTCCAAAACAGAGTCATGGGATTGCAGTGCCAGACTTTAATAAAAGCCCTGGCATTGCCCCTGGAATTTGGAGTATGGACACAGGCCTTGGGACTAGGTGCTGTGTTATCTAAACCATCTTGGGGTCTCTCTGCTGCCACCACATGGTGACTCCAGACAGTAGGGGAAGAGTTTTATCATCTTGCTTGGTATGTTTTTATACTATGCTTACTTGTTTCATTCTATCTTATGCTCTTGTATTCCTGTTTAAATCTGTTTGCTAGAGTTAACACTAAAGCTTAACATCTCCTTACCTAGGGTGTGTTCATTGTCTCTGGATCTAAAGGAACTAAAGGAACCACTTGTCTTGCACCTGGCCAGTGCTTTGACAATTGGCAAAACACTCGGTAAACCATGTACAGTGTGGTGAAGTCTGAAAGAAAAACTGCTTCACAAGACAGAAATGAACTCGCTGCTTTCTGGACTTGTCAGATGAAAAATCTGGTGTCATGGACCTGTGGACAATAATGGTGGCTGCTCAAACTATCTTGACTAGGGAAAAGAGTGAAACACAAATTTTGAAACTGCCTTCAACTTCTGTGACATATCTGAGCCATTCCTGGACATTTTTTGCTGGTATCCAATTCGGCTCAAACTCAGAGGAACTGATCACTAAGAAATCATATACAGCACTCTGCTGACTGTTGTTAACAGGCCCTTACTGGCAATATAACTTAGAAAGCAGAAATTGAAATTCTGCATAATCCATAGACTCACAGGGAGTGTAATCTTTCAAGGTAACTAAACACACACTGCAGTTAAAATTGCCTGGAGTTTTATGCTAAAGACAGCTGAGATCTGAAGCTTACCAGCAGTCACTGAACTACAATTTGCAGCATCCCTCACCATGGTTCACATTGGTTGAGGCTCTGGGTTTCAGCCAAAATGGGAAGCTTAAGGAGTCAATCCACTCCTTAAGAGACATTAAGTGTCTCTTAATGTAGCCACAACTTTCTTCAGGCTCATGCAGAAACCAGAAAAAAGACAGCTGCTGTAATGAATACCCGAGATGTGCCATACTTGCATAAAGTCTAAAGCAAGGTTTTTCAAACAGTGAGAACTTGATGGGGTTCTGTGAGAGACTAAGGGTACCAAAAAAAAAAAAAAAAAAACGCTCATGCAAATACAGC